GGCCGAGGGGGGGGGGGGGGGGGCGGGGAATGCCATGCATGCGCAAGCGAAACCGCCAGAACTCGAGAAAGCAAAAACATGGGTCGAGGCGCGTGGATTCGCGACGGGTCGCCTTGCCGTACAACATGGGCACGCTCCGTCGGCAAATGAGGCGGCATTAGCGCCATGTTTAGGGGGATACGGTCCCCGATCTGTAGATTTGGCGCCCACGCGCCAGGTCCACGGATCCCTAATCCATGTTATGGCGTGCCCGAACAATACCGATCGTACCCAAAGAATCCATGTAGCGTGTGTCCAGAGGCCAGAATCGAGGAAAATGGTCGGGAGTGGTCAAATCAGATTCGGAGATTTGGGCTTGATGCGCCGCCACGAGGTGGCCCCGGGCGACCCCAATCCCCACCGTGCTTTGGTATCTCAGCCCAACCATCCCACCACCCCAGTTGGGGATGGGCCACTCGAAACTCGCAGGGAACAGAAGGGGATATAAGGATGGGGTGTAAGAAACAGTGGAAAGACCACCCCTATCTGGAGATGTAAGTCGGCCAGGAGGCCACGCCAGTGGGGATACAGGCATCGCTTGAACGATACTCGCGATCGCGCCTCTCCTGGAGGTGGCACCAGGCGAGAAGGTCGTGGGCATCGACCTTGGCACCACGAACTCGGCCGTCGCCGCCATGGAGGCGGGCGCCCCGACCATCATCCCCAACGCGGAGGGCGCCCGCACCACGCCCAGCGTGGTCGCCTACTCCAAGAGCGGCGAGATGCTGGTGGGGCAGATCGCCAAGCGCCAGGCCCCGACCCCGCGGCCCGATGCTCCGGCCAGAAATCTGTCGGAGGAGGAGAAGTCGACGAAGAGAAAACGCCCTGACCATAAACTTTTGGCGCTCCCCGCGGATTTCATGGATCCGCGCTGGGCCCCCCCCGGCGGCGCCTCCAGCGCCGCCCCTGGCGCGCTCCGCGCGCCAAGGAGTGGGGTCCAGCGCAGAGCGAAGAAATCCGCGCGGAGCGCCAAAGGTTTATGTTCATGGCGCTTGTTCTTCTTCTGGAAAGGTTCCCCATTCCTCTACCCTTCGCCCGTTTTCCCCTTTTTGGACCTCCTCGGAGGCCCCTGTCTCCACCGTTGGACTCGCCTCGAAATTCTGGCCAGAGCGCACCCCGGAAGAGGTCCGGAGAGTAGCGGTATTGGTACCTTTTGGTATCCCCAGTATGGAGCAGCCGGTGTTTGGCTATCTTCGGCCTTTGGGGGCTTTCGACGGGCCCCGCGGAGCCGTCAGAGAACGACCCAGGATGAAACACCGGGCCTGTGTAGGGAAGAGCGCACCCCGGAAGAGGTCCGGAGAGTAGCGGTATTGGTACCTTTTGGTAGGCCTTTGGGGGCTTTCGACGGGCCCCGCGGAGCCGTCAGAGAACGACCCAGGATGAAACACCGGGCCTGTGTAGGGAAGAGTTCCAGGCCTCCGGGGGCCCCCGCATCCCAAACAATGGAGTTCCCGATGTCTGGGGAAGCAGCATTGCCCCGGCAGAGCACCTTCATGGCAGCGCCGAAAGGAAGAGGCGGGTCGAGGAGTGGGAGAATCAGGGCCCGGAAGGCCTGCTAAGGAACACATGTAGCCAGGGCAGGGGTGAGAGCTCGCCCATGCCAGGGCCCATTTCGATTCCTCCGACTCTCTTCGATTCGGGTTCGATCGATTCCGATTCCGCGACCGATGCGGTTCGACTTCGGATTCCGATGCGCGCTGTGGTTTCTCAATGGAAGCCTTACCAGCCTGCCGATTTCCGTTGATTCGACTTATCCCGCCTTGGCTGCCGATTCAGCCGATCCGATTCATTTCTATCGCCGGTCCGATTTATCGATTCGACTATGAGCTCTCTTGCCATGTTCACCTTCGTATGCTTCCAAGCCATCGTGTTGGGTCCTCATTTTGAAGAGACAGCGCCCCGCGTTCCTTCCTCCTTGCTTCCTTGCTTTCTTCCTTCCTTCCTCCTCCCATCATCATTATCATCATTATAAGCAGTAGCATCAGCATCATCAGCATCATCGTCATCATCGTCCTCATCGTCAGTATCATCAGCATCACCATTGTCATCAATATGATCATCAGCATCACCATCATCATCATCATCATCATCATCATCATCATCATCATCATCAGCAGCATCATCATCATCATCATTTTCATCATTATCATGATCATCAACATCGTCGTCGTCGTCATCATCACCATCACCATCATCCTCATCATCGTCGTCGTCATCACCCCATCATCCTCATTCATGCGTCCCCCCAATCTATTTCGGCACACCCCTTACACGTTCCGTGGCCCCATAGGGAGCTCCGCCGAAGGCCCCCGTGGCAGGGTTCGCATGGCACCGCCGCCCCCAGTTCGGCACACCCCTCACACGCTTCGTGGCCCCATATAGAGTTCCGCCGAAGGCCCCAGTGGCAGGTTCCGCATGCAGTTCCACTTCCATCTCGGCGCACCCCTCACACATGTTGTGGTCCCATAGGGAGCTGCATCGAAGGCCCCAGTGGCAGGGTCCGCATGCAGTTCCACTTCGATTTCCGCGCACCCCTCACGCGATTCGTGGCCCCGTTGGATGTTCCACCGAAGGCCCCAGTGGCAGGGTTTGTATGCAGTCCTCCCCTTGGGCACACCCCTCACACGTTTCGTGGCCCCATAGGGAGCTCCACCGAAGGCCTCAGTGGCAGGGTTCGCATGCGGTTCCAACCTCATTGCGGTACACCCCTCTCACGTTTCGTGGCCCTAGAGGAAGCTCAGCCGAAGGCCCCAATGGCAGGGTTTGCATGCGGTTCACCCCTAATGTTGGCACACCCCTCACACTTCTCGTGGCCCTCTAGGGAGCTCCGCCGAAGGCCCCAGTGGCAGGGTTCGCATGCCCCAGTGGCAGGGTTCGCATGCGGTTCCACCCCAATCTCGGCATTCCGCTCACACGTTTCGTTGCACTTTAGGGAGCTTGCGGTTCCACCTCTAATTTCGGCGCACCCCTCACACGCTTCGTGGCCCCATAGGGAGCTCCACCGAAGGCCCCACTGGCAGGGTTCGCATGCGGTTCCACTCTCATTGCGGCACACCCTTCTCACGTTTCGTGGCCCCATAGGGAGCTCCACCGAAAGCCCAAATGGCAGAGTTCGCATGCGGTTCCACCCCCAGTGTCGCCGCACCCTTCACACTTCTCGTGGCCCTCTAGGGAGCTACACCGAAGGCCCTAGTGGCAGGGTTCGCATGCGGTTCCACCCCCATATCGGCACATCTCTCACAGGTTTCGTGGCAACAGGGAGCTCCACCGAAGACGATACTCACAACTGCGGCATTCATAGCTGCATATGGTTGGGTCCTTCGCTCGGATACTTCACATGGTTTTCCTCGATTCCACCTCCGATAGGCGAATCTGATTAGGAGGAGGAGGAGGAAGAGCAGGAGGAGGAGGAGGAAGAGGAGGAGGAGGAGGAGGAGGAGGAGAGGACGAGCAGGAGGAGGAGGAGGAGGAGGAGGAGGAGGAGGGAGGAGTGGGAGGGGGAGGGGAGGGGGGAGCTGAGGGAGGATGAGGAGGAGGATGATGATGATGATGATGATGATGATGATGATTGATTGATGATGATGTTGATGATGGTGATGATGTGATTGATGGTGGTGGTGGTGGTGGTGATGATGATGCTGATGATGATGATGATGATGATGAGACTGATGATGCGGATGATGATGATGATGATGAATGATGCTGATGATGATGATGATGCTGATGATGATGATGATGAGGAGGAGGGAGGATGAGGATGAGGATGAGGATGAGGGATGAGGATGAGGAGTAGGAGGAGGAGGAGGAGGAGGAGGAGGAGGAGGAGGATGAGGATGAGGACTGAGGAGGAGGAGGGGGAGGGGGAGGGGGAGGGGGAGGGGGAGGAGGAGGAGGAGGAGGAGGGAGGAGGAGGAGGAGGAGGAGGAGGAGGAGGATGGAGGAGGAGGAGAGGAGGAGGAGGAGGAGGAGGCAGGCGGAGGAGGAGGAGGAGGAGGAGGAGGAGGAGGAGGAGGAGGAGGGGGAGGGGGAGGGGGGAGGGGAGGGAGGGGGGGGAGGACGAGGAGGAAGAGGACCAGGAGGAAAGGGGCAGAGAGCAAGACGGGGAGAGCCCGGCAGAAAGCTCCCCAGGATTGCGTGCATGGTTTTTCCCGACTATTCTGTGGTCTCGGGTCCTCGTTTTCAAAAGACAGCGCCCCACGTTCTCATCCCGCCTCGTTCCTCCCGCCTTCTCCTTCCTCCCCTCCCTTGCATCCCTAACGCGTTTGGTGGCCCCATCGGGAGCTCCGCCGAAGGCCCCAGTGGCAGGGTTCGCATGCGGTTCCAACCCAATATCGGAACACACTGCGCACGTCTCAGGGCCCCATAGGGAGCTTCGCCGACGGCCCCAGTGGCGGGGTTCGCATGCGGTTCCACCCCCATTTCGGCACACCCCTCTCACGTAGCGTGGCCCCATACGGAGCTCCACCGAAGGCCCCAGTGGCAGGGTCCGCATGCAGTTTCACTTCCATTTCGGCGCACCTCTCACACGTTTCGTGGCCCCATAGGGAGCTCCACCGAAGGCCCCAGTGGTAGGGCTCGCATGCGGTACACTCCTCACACGTTTCGTGGCCCCGCAGGGAGCTCCGCCGAAGGCCCCAGTGGCAGGGTTCGTGTGCGGTTCCACCCCCATTCCGGCACACCCCTCACACGCTTCGTGGCCCCAAAGGGAGTTCCGCCGAAGGCACTAGCGGCAGGGTTCGCATGCGGTTCCACCCCAATGTCGTCGCACCCCTCACACGTTTCGTGGCCCCATAGGGAGCTCCACCGAACGCTGCAGTGGGAGCGTTCACATGCGATTCCACCCCCACTGCGGCACACCCCTCTCACGTTTGGTGGCCCTCTAGGGAGCTCCACCGAAGGCCCCAGTGGCAGGTTCCGCATGCGTTTCGGCACACCCCTCACACGTTTTGTGGCCCCATGGGGAGCTCCACCGACGGCCCCAGTGGCAGGGTTCGCGTGCGGTTCCACCCCAGTTTCCGCACATCTCTCACACGCTTCGTGGCCCCATAGGGAGCTCCACCGAAGTCGATGCTCACGACTGCGGCACTCACAACTGCATACGGATGGGTCCTTTTCCAGGCGAATTTCACAAGGCACTGTGACCGTCCAGACCAAACATGTAGCCAGCATTGAGGGGAGGTCACGTTTACGAAGAAGGTTGGGATGAAGCCTCCAGCGAAACGGCTGCCGGCCCGGGCGGTCTTGGGTTCCCTTTTTCCTCTGTGGGATGATTGTATGGATTTTGTTTATTGCTTGGGGCATAATGGGCATTATAACCCGCGGCCCCCCCCCCCTTCCCCCCCCCATAATGTAACGTCCCTCCCCCCTCCCCAGTGCGCTCCGGGCACTGCCGCCGTGCGCACGGCGGGGGGGAGGCGTTACATTATACTCCCTCCGGGCCCCTTCCCCCCCCCCCCTGTAATGCCCCTTATCGCCGAAAATACAGAAACGCGCTCCTGCGAGGGAAGAATGCGCCAACGTAAATTTTTTTGGAGCTCCGCGCGGAGATTTCTGGGCTCGGCGCTGGGACCCCATTTGGCGGCGCCTCGGGCAGGCGGGTCCGGCTCAGATCCCTCAAAAAGGCGCGGGTCCCTCCGAGAGCTTATGTGTAGGACATGTCGGAGGGCACCAATTATACACCAACACCGATCCTGGCCCAGGATCACCCTGGGCCCATGATCGGTGTATATGCCTTCTCGCCCAAGGCAGGAGGGCGTATACACCGATCGTGGGCTCAGGGTGATCCTGGCCAGGATCGGTGTTGGTGTATAGTTGGTGCCTTCCTAACATGGCTTGTTCCTCTGAGGCCGTGATCAACCCCGAGAACACATTCTACTCCGTCAAGCGCTTCGTGGGCCGCACGGCGTCCGAGATCGAGGAGGAGCTCAAGGAGGTGTCCTACACGGTCTTGACGCAGGGCTCCAAGCTCAAGATCGACTGCCCGATCGCGGGCAAGCAGTTCGCACCGGAGGAGGTGTCCGCCCAGGTGCTCCGCAAGCTGGCCGCCGACGCGGGCAAGTACCTGAGCGCCACCGTCAGCAAGGCCGTCGTGACCGTCCCGGCCTACTTCAACGACTCCCAGCGCCAGGCCACCAAGGACGCCGGGAAGATCGCCGGGCTGGAGGTGCTCCGCATCGTGAACGAGCCCACCGCCGCGTCGCTGGCGTACGGCCTCGAGAAGAAGGACAACGAGACCATCATGGTCTTCGACCTCGGGGGCGGCACCTTCGACGTCTCCGTCCTCGAGGTCGGCGACGGCGTGTGCGAGGCTCGGGGGAGGAGCAACAGTTACCAGCCTGGAACATATCCCTATCCCTGTGCTGGGCATCTCCTCATCACGATGCCAATCTTAGGGAGATTCCCTCATTTCTTGCGGGCGCATCCCTGAGATTGCCATGGCTTTTTAGCGTGACACTCCTAGGGACAGGGATAGGTTCGGGGCTGGTAAAACTCAGAGCGTGAATTACCTACCCCGCTTTCGCTTCCAGGCAAAACCAGGCCATACCGCGCGCCTCCTCGTCAAGCGGCCTGACCAGTACAGGCCTGCAATTTGGCATCGCTTGGTATCTCTTGGAAGCGAGGGTGGTCAAAAGCGAGGCAGGTTTGTTCTCCCCCTAAAAAAACTCTTAGGGTGACACCCTTAGGGACAGGGATCGGTTCGGGGCTGGTAAAACTGTGTGTGTGCGTGTGTGTGTGTGTGCGTGTGTGTGTGTGTGTGTGTGTGTGTGCGTGTGCGAGCAGATGCCTTCGGAGCTTCCCCTGCGCACTGCTCGGGGGTCGGCGCTCGGCCCCCCTGCCCCGACGGGGAGCTCCCCCGCGCCACGGGGAGGGGGGGCGCCGGTCCTCCTGCAGGAGGAAGAGTCGTGTAAGACCCGGGTTTGCCAGGACTCGGGTTCGCCATCGTTTTTTGACGACCGCGACTCGGATTTTGACGAGGGGGAGTTTCGTGGGATGTCTGCAGCGGGAGGCCTCGTCAAAATGCAGGCTCGGCCTCGTCATTTTTTTGACGACCTCGTCGGGGATTTCCGAGTCCCCTGTACCCAGGTCTTACGTCCCCCCGAAAGAGTCAAGAAGAGCTGGAACATCACATGGGGACCCAGACACGATCGTGTCGTTGAAAAAAAAATCAGGGCGGGAGGCTTGCGGCTGTTTTCGGCCCCAGGGGGCCCTCGCAGGGCCTCGGGACCGTCCAAAAACGACTCGGGACGAAAAACCAGTCCCGGGGAATGGGTCGAGACTTCCAGGGACGCCGTCCTGAAAACATCACCCCAGCGCCAACCCGGGCGATCCGCGCAGACCTCCGGACGTCGGCTGCCATCTTTGCTCTGCCCGGAGGTGCTGTCCACCAACGGCGACACGCACCTGGGCGGCGACGACTTCGACAAGGTCATCGTGGACTGGCTGGCGGACAGCTTCAAGGCCAAGGAGGGCATCGAGCTGCTCAAAGACAAGCAGGCGCTGCAGCGCTTGACCGAGGCGGCCGAGAAGGCCAAGGTGGAGCTGTCGGGCGTGCAGGAGGCCAAGATCTCCCTGCCGTTCATCACCGCGGACGCGACCGGCCCCAAGCACATCGAGGATCAGGGGAGGGAAAGTGCATCCCGCGGAGCGACACCGCTGCTCGTCCTGGGGAGCTCTCGTCGCCACGGCTGGATTCTCACAGCAGTTCTCGTCAGAGTGCACCCCGTAAGAGGTCCAGGGAGTGGCGCGGCATCGGTGTCACTTGGTTTCCCCAGAGGAGACCCTCTCGCGGGCGAAGTTCGAGCAGATCGCGAGCACCCTGGTCAGCCGCTGCAAGGCCCCCGTCGAGAACGCCCTGAGGGACGCCAAGATCTCCTCCTCAGACATCAACGAGGTGGTCCTCGTGGGGGGCTCCAGCCGCATCCCCGCCGTGCAGGAGCTGGTGACGAAGCTCGCTGGCGGCAAAGCCCCGAACCAGAGCGTGAACCCGGACGAGGTGGTGGCGGTGGGCGCCGCGGTGCAGGCCGGGGTTTTGGCAGGCGAGGTGAAGGACATCGTGCTGCTCGACGTGACGCCGCTGTCCCTCGGCGTCGAGACCCTGGGCGGCGTGGCCACGGTCCTCATCTCCCGGAACACGACCATCCCCACCAAGAAGACCGAGGTCTTCTCCACGGCCGTGGACTCGCAGCCGTCCGTGGAGATCGTCGTGCTGCAGGGCGAGCGCCAGTTTGCCAAGGACAACAAGATCCTCGGCACGTTCCGGCTCGACGGGGTCCCGCCCGCTCCCCGCGGCGTGCCGCAGATCGAGGTGACTTTCGACATCGATGCCAACGGAATCCTGAACGTGGCTGCGAAGGACCGCGGCACGGGCAAGGAGCAGACCATCACCATCACTGGCTCCACCACACTCGACAAGAACGACGTCGACAGGATGGTCAAGGATGCCGAGGCCAACGCCGCCGAGGACGAGAAGCGCAAGGACTCCGTGGAGACCAAGAACCAGGCGGAGTCGCTCGTGTACCAGACGGAGAAGCAGCTGCAGGAGCTGGCGGACAAGGTGCCCGCGGACCTCAAGGCCTCCATCGACCCGAAGCTGGCGGCCCTCAAGGAGAAGGTCGGCGAGGCGGAGCCCGACACTGAACTGCTGAAGAAGATGACCAAGGACTGGGATCTCTTCGATCGGAAACTGGAACCTATACATTACCAGTGGCGGGCGGTTTTTCAATCCCAGGACTTTTTTGAGGGGCGGGGACGACGTCGGGGTGGTGTGGTGTATACTTGTTTCCCAGTTTTCCCGTGGAAACAACAAAACATGTATACACCGACCGGAAAAAACATCGGTGTATAAAGTTCGGTTCTTTATTTGATCCTCTCAGAGACACCACCGCTCTGAGCTCGTGGAGTCCTTCCCAGATCGACCACACCCCAAACTACGGGCTATGGCCCGCCCAGGAACGATGCTCGCATGGGGTGCCAGCGTGCACTCCCTGCGCACGCCCAGCGACCCTCCACGCCCGCCCCACGCACGCAGGCCTACCTCTGGCCTCCGGCAGTCCTGATCCGAAGAATAGAACTCGGCCAACAAAACAAACAAACAACAACAACAAAAACAAACAAAAAAACAAACAAAACGGCAAACAAACAAAGCAACAAAAAACATCGGCATCAAGATGAATCTTTCGGAGCCTCGCGCGGATCTCGGGGATCGGCGCTGGGGCCCCCCCTGGCGGCGCCTCCGGCGCCGCCCCTGGCCCGCTCCGCGCGCCGGGGAGGACCGGCCCGGCGCGGGCCCAAGAGACCCACTCGGACCTCCGAAAGTCTATGGCTATGACCGTCGCTGCCTCCATCAGGGAGCGTTTGGGAGGGGCGGGGGCCGGTCGCGCCACGATCCGCGCCAGTGCTGAGGGGGCGGCTCCTTCCCAGACGGCGCTGGCGCAAGTCGTGGCGTGGCCATGAGGGAGGCGGAGGGGGGGCGGGAGCGGGGCCGGGGCACGGGCGGTGTCGCGAGGGATGCAGAGCCGGCGCTCCCCGGAGGCTGCCAGGAGGGTTCGTTGGGCAAGGGCGCCTGCGCTGCACCTGAGGCCCCCCGCCCCCCCGCCCGGCATGAGGCCCCACAGGGAAGGGAGGAAAAACCACCCGGACCGGACCATCGGCGTTTGCTGAACGGCCCTGGGCGTTTGAATCAAGAAGCCCTGCCCTTTTCGATTCCTTCTTTGGGTGCGTTTCCTAAACGACTTCGCGTGTCGGGGTGGTTTTTAGAAGGGTGGACTTTTTGACATCTACTGAGGCCCCACAGATAGATCAGAGGGGCCCCAGCAGCCGTCGAAAGCACCCTCCTTGATCCAAACCTCCTCGCGAGTCCAGATTTTGAAAGAAAGTCGGGCATGTCCCTCTACAGGAGGAATATTCAAAAACAGTCAATAATAGGCTGGGGACCTTTTTTGTATATTTTTGGAATATTAGTTGAATATTTTTGGGCTAGTTCCTATTTTTGGTTCAAAATCCGCCTGTAGCGGGACGTACCCGACCTAAATCCAGATTTTAAAAGATCGACTACACGTAGAGTGGTCCTTCGCCGGATTGACCTTTGGTGCGGGCCCACTTAAGGGTCTCCCGATCGCCGAACGCGATGCGTTATTGGCGTCTTGCTCGCTGGTGTTTGGTCCCCCCGCGGCCCCCAAAAAGCCGCGCACCAGATCTTCTCGCCGTTCCCGGCCCTGAGACCCGACGTCTCGAAAGAGCTAAGACATCGTACAAAATCACGACCGGAGCCCCAGAGAGCTCCTCTTTCTGCGCCGTCTCCCGAGCCGGACCGATCTGCGAGGGCCCCGGGGGGGGCCAGCACTTGCGCGACGGCGTCCGCCTCGCAACATTTGCGCCGCCAGCATCCCCGGCGGTCGCCGAAGAGGGCTCCGAGAGAAACCCACGCCAAGAGGGGATTTTGGGGAAAAGCTGATGATTTTTTAAAGTAGCAAGTCATGATATATCTATATATATACACATATTATATTATAAAAAAGAAACCCACGCCGAGAGGACCTGCAGGACGAGCTCATGAAGGTCGGCCAGGCGGCCTACGCGAACACCGGCGCCGCCCCAGCGCCCGAGGGCGGCGCCCCGCCCCCGCCGGGCGACGCCCCGCCGCCGCCCGGCGGCGCCGCGGGCAAGAAGCCCGACGACGTCATCGACGTCGACGGCCAGTAGGCATCGAGCAGCGGCGAAGCGTCCTGGCGTGCCTACACCCCGATGGCCCGCTACCGAAAATTTCCGGTAGCGCTCCGCAGAGATCGGTCGCTACCGAAATACCGAAATCTAGCGCCCAGTACCGGTCTCAGAGCGTTCTGAAACCCGCTATTTCAACGCCCTCGAACGAAGATCCGGTCGCTACCGAAATTCGGGGTGCGTCGAAATCGCTACCGAAAATTTCCGGTACCAGACCATCTGGGCAGGTCCAGAGAGGAGTGTTCTGATTGCCTTGTCTGTGGCCTGCACGAGATGTTGGTAGAGAACTGTCTTGTTAGAACACGTCGGGTTATAACTATGTTATGGGGGCATATTTGTTTTTGTTGCCAGAGCGGTCTTGGGTTCTGAGAACTTCGTGGTGGGCCTCTAGGAATGCCGGGACGGTCTGTCCCTGCTCCAAGGCAGCTCGCCGTCGAGCGGTGCTCTGTCGCGTATCTTTACGTCGGGCATGTCCCTCTACAGAGGGAACGCTCAATAATAATTGTTAACGAATAGTATGGTGACGTGTTTTTGTGCTCTCTGGGCTATGCTTGACTGGTTGCTGGCTACAGCTTATGTTCTTAACCAAATCCGCCTGTAGGAGGAGATGCCCGACCTGAGCGTATATGGTTTCGGGGGTGGACAGAACCCCCAACAGTGACACGTCGAGTAGTGGATTGTCCGTTCTCGGTTCTCGAGAGGGCGCCGTGGCCGCTATTTTCCAGGCTTGCGCCCGCCAGGTTTGGGCCTCAGGTCGTTTTCGCTAAACCACGTTTTACTAAAGGGAGGTCTGTCCATTCCCGACAAACGGTATCGGGGGAGGAGAAAGTATCCACGTCCGAGAGGGCCTTGTTACCAGAGGCAGGTCTGCGGATTCGGTCACTGCACATGGCAAGAGACGGCGCAGGAGCGCCCCAAGCCCCAAGATGTCCCCAGGAGGCCTCCAAGAGGACCCCAGGAATCTCACAGGAGGCCCCATGACGACTTGACTGCACGTGCTCCAGAAGTGCACAACCCGCGAAGGGAAAGGAATAACGATACCGCTGCTCGTCAAGGAGAGCCCTCATCGCCACGGCTGGATTCTCCTCGAAATTCTGGTCAGAACGCACCTCAGGAAAGGTCCAGGGAGTAGTTCCAGGCCTCCCAGATGGGGTCGGAGTAGATGGGGTCGGAGGATCGCGCCGCATCGCCGATTCATCTCCGATGCGGCTCGATGCGGAGCCCGATTTTTTGAACGCCGACGTCGACGATGCATCGCCTGTGCATCACCGATGTATCGCTGATGCGTCGCCGATGTACCGGCGATGCGACTGGATCCTCCGACCCCATCTACTCCGACCCCATCTAGGAGGCCTCTAGTAGTGGTACCGGTGCCCCTTCGCTCCCCCCAGACAGCTCGCAGCCGTGCTGTATTCTGTCGCATTTCTGTGTTCACAGGCCGGGCGGCGTCCGCAGTCAGCCCGATGGAGCTCGTAGGGGTGCAGTTGCTGTTTTTGTGCCAGCGCCCTGCGGGGTCGAATGTCCTTCGGACATACTATTCTCTTCTTTGATGCTTTCTTAGGCATTTCAAGACGCTGCGCGATGCTCGTCCGCCCGTTCAGTTCTCGCTGGGAGCTGCTCCAAAACATGACCACGACACGTGAGCGTTTTTTCATTCATTCTTTTGCCGATCGGCGCGGGCCCTCGCACCCCCCCCCTCCCAGGCCCTCGCAACCCCCCCCTCCCCCCCTCCCTGGAGTGGATCTTGGCTGCTTTGTTGGCGCCTGCTTCGAGCAGGCGGAGCTTCTCCCCCACGGGGCGCACCGCTGCAGACAGTCGCACGAAGCAGAGGTCCGGAGCCAGACCCCCCCCCCTGTCCTTCCAGGAGGGCCAAAAAAAAAAGCACGCGCCTTTAAAAACCTATCCCAGAGCTGTTCTGCGTCTTGGTTTTTTGGGCTGTTTCGTTTCGTTTTTTAGGTTTTTAGGCCTCCCGTGCTAAGAAATAGCTCTCTGGAAGGTCAGGGCTCAGGAGGGAAAAAAAAACACAGACACAATTAATCCTCGATTCCCAGGAAAATATGGGAAAATAGGGGAATTGGGGGGGGAAGACAAAAACCCAGAAAATCTGAGAAAATATGGGGACTATTTTTATTTGTGTGTATTTATTTGTGTGTCCTAATTTCCCTTTGAGGGCCCTCCCCCCCGCCCGCCCAGCGCCGCAGCGCCGAAGAAGAACGACGCTCGCCCTGCCGAAGAGTGCCCGAGGCGGCCTCGGGCTCGGAGGTCACCACCCACCAGACCACCCCAGCCCAACCCGAGGGCCTCAGTTTGCCTTCCATTTCTCAGAGCGTGAATTACCTACCCCGCTTTCGCTTCCAGGCAAAACCAAGTCATACCACGCGCCTCCTCGTCAAGCGGCCTGACCAATACAGGCCGTAGTTTGGCATCGTTTGGTATCTCTTGGAAGCGAGGGTGGTCAAAAGCGAGGTAGGTTTGTTTGCCTCCTAATTTCACAGGAGGGAAAGAGACACACAGACACCATGAATCGTCGACTCCCAGGAAAAAATATAGGAAAATATGGGAAAAGTGGGGGGGAGGACAAAAACCTGGAACATATGGGAAAAGACAGGGGATCCTTTTGTGGTGTGTATTTATTTGCGTTTTCCGGGGGCCCTTCAATTTCCAGGGGGGGGGGGGGGGGGGGGGGGGGGCGGGGAACATTGAGAAAACACATGTGGAACCCGTACACCCCCCAACCCAACCCGAAATGCGGGTCTTCGGGTTGGGTCGGGGTGGTCTGGTAGGCAGTCGGGAGGAGGCCGAGGGCTGCCCCCAGAGGGCCCCGGTGGTGCCCCACGAGGGCGCCCGTGGGGCGCGCAGAGGTCCCCCCCAGAGCAGATCCCCCCCAAACTTGGGGCTTGGGTTAAGTCGGGCCTGTCCCTCTGCAGGCAGGGGGGGGATATTGAAGAAGAGTCAAAAAGATCGTAGGGGGACGGTTTTTTCCCGTATTTCTGAGCCTTTCTGGGGGGCATGTTTGGGCAATTTCTCATCCTTCGTCCAAAGTCCACCTGTAGGAGGACACGCCTGACCTGAGGCTTGGGCGTCCTGGGGCCGCTTCGGGGAGGGCTCGGAGCCGATTTTGAAGTCTTGTGTGCTGCGGCCACCAGTGCCGGGCATGGGTTCCTCGGATGGTGATCGTTGTTTTATTCATCTTTTGCCGATCGGCGAGGGCCCTCGCAGCCCCCCTCCCCCACCCCCATGGTGTAGATCTTGGCTGTTTTGAGCGCCTGTTTCGAGCAGATGCTTCTCCCCCATAGGATGTCCTGTCGCAAACAGTCGCGCTAAGCATAGGTCCGGAGCCAGACCCCCCCCCCCATCCCCCCCCCTCCGCCCAGCGTCGAAACGCCGAATAAAAAACATGGACCTGGGACCTCTTCGGGGAGGTCTCAGAGCCGTTTTAAAGGCTTCTGCGTTGCGGCCACCAGTGCCGGGCCCTGGTTCCTCGGATGTCCAACTTGTAGACCGTGGTTCTGGAGTCTCATGCGCCGTTGGCCCGTTGGGCCTGCGAGCTCTCTTTCAAGTGCGGTCTCGCCGCCCCGTTCTTCGACGCAGCGCGCGTGATTTTGCTGATGGCAGTGGCTCCTCTGTAGATGTGCGGCTTATTGGGCCTGCATTTTTCGCTGTTCGATGCTGGACAGAGGAGGACCGTTACGTTGCCGTTTATCCCAACGCGCAGCATGCTTAGAGGATTGTGCAGAGTGCTCACGCACGACGGTTTTCAACCAGGTGTCGCTGTGTTGTGGCACGACTTTGGCCGCGATGACATAACGACTAGATCGAGAATGATGAGGAGGACCTGGGTATTCAGGAGGGACAATAACACACAGGCGCAACTAATCGACGATTCCCAGGAAGACATGGAAAATAGGAGCATTTCGGGAATCCGATGATTTGTTGTTATTCATTTGTGTGTCCCTGGGCCTTTTTAGATAAGCAGATCGTGGATGACGAAAATGGTGAGGACGGTGAGGTGCGGTGGGAGAAGGACGATCAGGAGAAGCACGAGGAGAGGGAGACGCCGGATGTTGAGGGCAATGGCTAGAATTGGGCGTCGCGTGATGGGGAGGGCGATCAATGGGAGGGGGGTCCGCGAGGGCGTCAGCAAAGGGGCCCTGTCGGCCCCCTCAAGGGGGCCTGTGGGTCCCCAAAACGGGGCCTTGAGGGCCCGAGAAGTGCACCTTTCTGCTCCCCATTTCTTCTTTCTCGTTCTTCTTCCTCTCCTCCTCCTTCTCCTCCTCCTCCTCCTCCTCTTCCTCCTCCCCCTCCTCCTCCTCCTCCTCCTCCTCCTCCTCCTCCTCCTCCTCCTCCTCCTCCTCGCCCCCCCCCCATGGAGCGACGCCCATTAGAGCAGGGGGAGGGTGCGGGGGGGAGGATACGGAGACCAGATCAGAAGAAGAGGGGTTTTCAGGAGGAGAGTGAGAAGAGGAGGAAGAGGAGGAGCAGGAGGAGGAGGGGGACGAGGAGGAGGAGGAGGAGGAGGAGGAGGGGGACGAACGAGGAGGAGGAGGAGGAGGAGGAGGAGGAGGAGGACGGGGAGGGGGAGGAGGGGGAGGGAAAGGAGGGGAGCGAGAAGGGAGACTCTGGAGACTCTGATAGCGGACACTGTCCTCTTCCTTGGGCTCCCCAGGGTGGCGCGGCTGCCACTTCCGCCACCTGGGAGCCCACGCCCCGTGCCAGCCGAGCGCCGCCGACGCGTGCTCCACTAGCGCACTCCCGCCGCCAAACGGCGGCCCGCGCCTCAGCGCTGCTGTCACGCGCGTGGCCACCCGAACAAGACGAGCGCCACGTATGTAGTGTCCAAGGCTTACCTTGCTTGAACCGACTGCTGGCCTAGTCCTTGGGCCTCAACCTCGAATCGTAGGCGCACTCCGCGGCCTCCTGTAAGGCCTGCTCCGCCTTCGCCAGCTGCTCTTGGAGGTAGTGAACCTTGACTGCGGCCGCCAGCACCGGAGCCGAGAGGTCCTTCTCCTCCTGGGTGTGCTGGAGGTCTTGCAGCTCCTGGGGGTCCCCCCAGCCCTCGAAGAACTGTTTCTCCTTGGCGTACGGCGCCTCGCACTTGTTCTGTTTCTGGGCCTCGTTCTTCTTCGCCAGCTGGTCGTCCTGGTACATCTCCTGCGGGTCGATGAGGTTGGCGATGCCCTCAAGCACCTCCTTCGTGTTCCCGAGGTCGCACTGTCCCTCGCACGGGATCTTCACCGAGCCGTCGAGAATGCTCTTGACCGCCTTCTCGATCGACTCCATCCTCTGGACCAGGATCTCCGAGACCAAGCTCTGCTTCTCCAGCTGGAACTTCTTGCCGTCGTCCACCTCAACCTCCGAGACCGACGAGCTGTCCAGCTTGGCGGCCCGCCTGCGCCCATGACGCTGGCGCCTCTTCGCTTCCAGGCCTGTCTTGGGGAGCGCCTCGGCCCCCTCCCCGAACATGTCGTGCTCGGCCACGTTGCGCATCGCCAGGACGCCGCCGTCGACGCACGGCATTTTGCCTTGGGCCGCTGCCTCGACCTTCGCCCTCAGGACGGGCTGGATGCGCTGGACACGCGCCTGCACCTCCGCCTCGATATCCTTGTCCTCGAGCGGGCCACCGCCCACCTCAGCCCGGGCAGCGCGCCAGAGGCCGACCGCGACCGCCGCCACCACCTGCCGAGATCCGCCGGCACGAACCACCGCCTCGAGGAGTGCCGACGCCATCGGGTCGGCCATGACCGCGGCCCGCCGCACGGGAGGCAAGCAGGCTCTGAGCCAAAATGGCTACGGAGGGAGCGAGAAGGGAGAGGAGGAGGGAAAGGAGCGAGGAGCTGGATTCGGGTCGCCCCTCGGGCATTTTAGCGTGGAGAGGTCCAGCCTTTCAAAGGAGGAAGACGAGGAGATACGGTAGGATAGAGAGGAGATGAGAGGGGAATTGGGGAGCACGCGGGAGAGACAGGGGGCAGCAGGAGAAGGAGGGGGCCGGTCGGGCTGCGTTGGGAAAGCTACCCCCCAACACACAGCAATGGTTCCGCCCCCCTCGTACGTGCTTTTAGTCGTCCTCCTTCGTAGAAGCGTGGTGTACCCCTCCCTCCGCCCTTCTCCGTTCCCCTCCCCTCGTCCACCCCCCCCCCTCCTCTCCCCTGCCCTCCTGTCCTCCCCCGTGTCTCCTCCCTCTGTCCTGTTCCGTGCTGTGCCGGTGGCCCACGCGGGACATCGGCGCCGATGCCTCCTCTTCGGTGCCCCGCAGGTGGCCTCCTGTCGCTCACGTGTTGCGCTCATGTGTCGGCGGTATGGCGGCGGCGCGCCGCGCGGGGGAGGCGAGAGGGGGCAGGCCTTGTCAGAGGGCGGCAGAGCTTCTCCGAAGCCCATCGGGCTTATGATGTTCCTACCTACTTTAGCCTTGATCACCAGGAAGAATTTCGAGCACCAAGAAAGGAACGAAACTGGAGGGATTTCACGTGTCGGGCCCTGGGAGGCGATACCCGTTCGGCCCTGCTTCGATACTTTTCTGGGTGCTCTAAAATATTCCTGGGATGTGGTCCTTAAGTGCGATGGGAGCAACTGGACCTCAGGCCTTCTGAGAAGCTGTCTCTGTCTTCGGAGGAGGCTCAGGCAGCCTCTCAGAAGGCCCGGGGCCTCCGAGCCCGAAGGCCCACTCCCGCTGCAGAGTCCCCTCCTGGGGGCTCGCCGCCGACTGGTGGCTGCTGCGCTCATGCGGCTCCCTCGCCGCTGCGGGCTCCGCCCTGCCGCTGCGTGCTGCCCCCCGAGCGCCCGCCGCCCGCCCCGCAGGGAGCCAACGCGGTCCAGGCCGGCTCCACCGTGCAGAACGCGTCGGTGCTGCCAGGTCGCCCGGGGAGGAGGGCCCCCCGGAGCCGGCGGCGCTTCCTGCGCCGACCAGAGGAATTCGCTCGAACTTTCGGAAGTTCATGCTTACGTTGTTGCGTCTATCGGGGGCGGAAAAGAGGGGGGTGATGACTAGGGGGGGTGGATATCATGGCGGGGGCCATGATATTTCCCCAGATTTCATGGCGCCTCTTCTTATTTCATTACGTCCCTGGCCCCCCCGCTGGGCCACGCACATGCCGCCGGTCATGATTTGCACCCCCCCCCCTCTTGGACACCCCCCTCTTGGCCGCTCCCGATTCTACATTGGGAAACATCTCTTTAAACCTTGGCCCCTTCATCACTCGGATTTCCGAGTGGTGGAGCTGCGTCGAGGTATCGGCCTCTTGCCGACCTGCCTTCCCTTTCTCTTTCTCGCCTTCTGCGGCATTGCTCGTTGACAGGAGCCGAGGCGGCGCAAAAGGAGAAGGAAGGAGAAGACAGGAGGAGCAGGAGGAGGAGGAGGAGGAGGAGGAGGAGAAGGAGGAGGAGGAGGAGCATCGAGGAGGAGGAGGAGGAGGAGGAGGAGGAAAAGGAAGGGGAGCATCGAGGAGAAAGAGGAGGAGGAGGAGGAGGAGGAGGGGGAGGAGGAGGTCATCGGAGGTTCACAAGGTGGGGGGGCGTTCTGTGCTGCCTGGTGAGATCATCCCTCCTCCCGTCCGCTTCCCTCTTGCTCTCCCTCCCTTCCGGCTCATCCTCCTCTTCTGTCCAGTTCCTTCCAGATAGCTCCTCCCTGTCGCGCCACCGGGCGTCTCGCCGGAGACTTCCCCACGATGTATGCTCCTGAAGCCCGAAACCTCCCTCAGTCTCGGGCATTCGGGTCGAATCCTCTTCAGCATGGGCCTCTCGCCCCAGCGCCTGGCGCCCACTCCGCCCCAGACGCAGGAGGGGAAAAAACACACAGACACAATTAATCGTCGATTTCCCAGAAAATATGGGAAAATATGGGGAATGATCTTATCTGTGTGTATTTATTTGTGTGTCCCAGGGCCCCTTCACAGACGCGGGAGGCCTGCGACAACGGCTGCCAGGCCGGAGGCTGGCACCTCTTCCGGCTGGGGCGCTCGCCTCGGCGCCACGCACACCCGTCTCCACGGTTCGGCAGCAGCGCCCTGGACGCAGGGCGGTCTTCGCAGTGCCGCGCGCATTCGCCGCGTTCGAGACGGCAGGGCTTGGCGGGGGGAGGAGGAAGAGGAGGAGGAGGAGGAGGAGGAGGAAAAGGAAAAGGAGGAGGAGGAGGAGGAGGAGGAGGAAAAAGAAGAAGAATAAGAAGAAGAAGAAGAATAATAATAAGAAGAAGAAGAAGAAGGACGAAGACGAAGACGAAGACGAAGACGAAGACGAAGACGAAGGCGAAGGCGAAGGCGAAGACGAATAATAATAATAATAAGAAAAAGAAAAAGAAGAAGAAGAAGAAGAAGAAGAAGAAGAGAAGGAGGAGGAGGAGGAGGAGGAGGAAAAGCTTGCCGCGCTCGCCGCGTACGAGGCGGCAGGGCTGGGCGGGGCGGCAGCGGCTCGGGAGGGGTCCTCGCCCCGGCGCCGCGCACGCTCGCGCTGCAGCGCCACGGCTACTGTGGGGATGGAGGGTGGCTCCTTCTCCAGGTGCGGGTCTCGGGCCGGACGAGAGGGGGGGATTGGGAAAGGGGGGGGGTACGAAATCTGCTGCGTTCGGAGGTGGACAGACCTCCTACCCTGACACGTCGATGAAGGAATTGGCCGTTTTCGGTTCGCCAGAGGGCGTCGCGGCCATCATTTTTGCGGGTCCAGGTCCGTCGATTTCGGTCCCAGGCCGTTTTCACTAAGGGGAGGTCTACTAAAGGGAGGTTTGTCCACCGCCGATGGGAAAGGGGGGGTTACGAAATCTGCTGCGTGCAGCTGGTTTCGGCCCCACCGAGGGGCCCATTCCTCGATGCATGGGCGCCTTCCAGCGCCGGGAGGCGCCGGGAAAGTCAGCCGCGTGGGCTGATTCTCCCCCCCCCCCTGTGCTATCCCCCCCTTCCGCCCGATCCGAGGGTCTCGCCCGAGATCTCTTCGAATGTACCGACCCGGAGCTGGAACACGTGCCACAGTCGCACGTGTTGAGGGCGGCCCCTTTTTTTTCGGCATGGGCTCATCGCTTGAGGTGTCTTAGAGGCAGCTGTATGACCACCTTCGAGAACAAATGGTGTAGCGGTTGCACGTGCGGGGGGCGGTCCCCGTTCAAACCGGGCCTCTCGATGGAGGCCTTGCTTAATTCTACGACGCAGCCCCTGCGCAGTCCGTGTGTGACCCGCTGGAGGGATGCACTGCAACGTGTGTTTGAGCACGGGGATCTCGCTGGAATGGCAGGCTCACAGGGCGATCGTCTTTCAAGGGCTCGCTTCTTGTCATGAAAAGGACGGCGTTCAGGAGCATCGCCGCAGGGGACTTTGGAAGGGAGGTCGTATTGCAGCATCGTTGATGTTGCAATCTGGTCAGTCTTCCTCTCCTCCGCATCCTCCTAAATCTCCTGCTCCTCCCTCTCCTCCCGTTCTTCCTCCCTCCGCCCTCTCCGCCGGCCTATTCTCCTCCGCCCTTTACCGCTCCTCAACTCCCTTCCTCCCAGCTGTTTGCCTCCCTTTTCGTCTTGTCGTCGTGGGGGGAGTGGGTTGGTGGGTGGGTGGGCGGGAGGAGAGGTCAGAACGAGCGCGTTCTGTGGTCGCCTGGAGGGGGGGGGTGAAACCGGACCCCCCCTCCCCCCTCTGGATGGAGGGGGGGGGGTGTTTCGACCCCCCCCCTTCCCCTCCCCCTCCCGTGACGGGGGAGGGGGGTTCGAACCCTCCCTCCCCCCCCCCCTTCTTCCTCTGCTTTCCCTCTCGGGCCGGCGCTTGTGTCGGCGACGGCTGGCGACGGCGGCGGGGGCGACGATTTCCATTTTTGGGCCGGCGCCGGCGCCTTCGGCGGCGGGCGGCGGGGAGCGTCGACGAGGACGACGGAAGTGGTGGTGGTGGTGGTTGTGGGTTGTGGTGGTGGTGGTGGCGGTGGTGGTGGTTGTGGTGGTGGTGGTGTGGTGGTTTGTTGTGGTGGTGGTGGTTGTGGCGGTGGGTGGTGGTGGTTTGGTGGTGGTGTGGTGGTGGTTTGTTGTTGTGGTGGTGGTGGTGGTGGTGGGTTGTGGTGGTGGTGGTGGTTTGGTGGTGTGGTGGGTGGTGGTGGTGGTGGTGGTGGTGGTGGTGTGGTGGTGGTGGTGGTGGTGGTGGTGGTGGTGTGGTGGTGTTGGTGTGTGTGTGGTGGTGGTTTGTGGTGGTGGTGGTTGGGTTGTGGTTGTGGCGGCGGTTTGTGGAGGTGGTGCTGGTGGTGGTGGCGGTGGTGTGGTGGTGTTGTGATTTGTGGGTGGTGGTGGGGTTGTGCTGTGGTGGTTGTGTGGTGGTGGTGGTGAGATGTGGTGGTGGTGGGGGTGGTGGTGGTAGTGGTGTGGTGGTGGGTTGAGGCGGTGGTGGTGGTGGTGGTGGTAGTGGTGGTAAGTGTCGCTGCGTCCCCGCCGTCGCCGGCGCCAGCGCCGGCACTGCTGGCCGCCGCCAGCGCTGGCGCGGCGCGAGGGGGGGGTTTTGACCCCCCCCCCCTTGGGAGGGGGGGGGGGTTTGAACCCCCCCCCCCCCCCCCTGGGCTGCCTCTGGTCATCGTCGCTGCGTCCCCGCCGTGGGCGCTGCTGGCGGCCGCCAGCGCCGGCGCCGGCGCCGACGGGTGGGGGGGTCGGGAGGAGGGGGGGTTTGGGGGAGGGGAGTCCCCCTGGTTTTGATCGACGGCGCCGAGTGTTGGGGGGGGGGCCACCCCCCGGCTCGAAACGCGCCGTTGAATGTTCCCCAGGCAAGCGCCCGTGAAACGCGTTCTCTCCGAGGTCAGGGACGGAGGTGGGGGGGGATGGGAAGGAAGGAGCGGGGTGTGGGAGGGAAATACAGGATCAGCAGGTTGACGGTACCCCACTCTCCGTCAGCCTCTTCCCGTTCCCTCCTGCGTTTCCCTCTTTGCGTCCCCCCCCTTTGTCATCGCTGTCCGCCTCCGCAAACACTTTTGGCGCACGCTGCTTGCCCGCTCTGCGATTGCAGGCCCTAGGGGAGTGGCACGCGGCCAGAAGCAGGGGGCTTCGCGCACGGTCGCTGCCAGGATGGTAGCAGGCCTGCGTGCCAAGGACGCAGCCCACTCGGGCCCCAAGAGGCGTCCCCAGTGGATAATGCTCCTTCTCCTCCTTCTCCTCTTCCTCTTCCTCCTCCACTGGAGACGCACCTGTAGCACCGTGCCGCCGAAGCAGACGGCGAGCCCTGCCACCGAGCTGATGCTTATGCTCTTATGCTAGTTGCTGGCATGTAGAGTCGCAGGGTGACTGGGAACTCGAGGGAATCGGAGGACTAGAGGTTAACACCTGCACCGGTATCGGCGATGCGCCTTCACCGAGGGAAGATGAGCCGGATCTCTGTGATGCTGGCAGTATTTGGGCTTCTTCGGTGGCCGAGATATCACCACTAACACAAACATCTAGGATCGTCCTCCCTCGGTGGAGGCAGCCCCCTGTGCTGGTGTTGGTACTCATGTCCAAGACTCCTGGGGAAACGTGAAAGGTGGCCTCGCGCGTGTAAGACGCCTGTGCTGCCGTTATCGCTCAGTCGCGACAGCTGGTGATGCGCCACACGCGTGGAGGTCGAAACGGGAAGTTGCGCCGGACAACCAGGACGGGAGTTATTGCAGAGTGTCCAGCACCAGCTCGGCGTCAGCGCTTGCGGATTAGGGGCGGATTTGGGGTGCGTGACATGCGCGTGCACTGCGGGTGGCATGTCTTGGTGTCAAGGGGAGGGGGGAGGCATCGATGCGCCAAGCTTCGCGTCCTCCCAGCCCGATGTTGGCTTTTGCGCGTTGGAGGCCCGCCAGAAAGGACGAGAGACCAATGGGCTTGCAGCGAATTTTACAAAGGAGGCGCCATTTCGAGCTTGCCACAACAAAAAGAACACACGCATACACACATACACACAAACACGCACGCACGCACGCACACACACATACACTCATGCACACACAACACACAGCACACAACACAACACACAACCCGCAACACACAAAACACACACACAACACACAACACCTATAACACGCACAACACAAAACTCACAACACACAACACACAACCACACACAAAAACAATCGCGAACACACTCACACGACACACACAGACACATACACACAGCACAGCACAGACACACACACACGCATACACACACGCCCACGTACACACGCACACACACACACACACACACACGCACGCACGCACGCACACACGCGCACACACATATTCACACCCACACGCACACACACACACTCACACACGCACACCACACAGCACATACACACAACACACAACGACACAGACACAGACACACCCACAGACACAGACATAGACACCGACACCGACACCGACACCGACACACACACACACACGCACACTCACACGCACACGCACACGGACACGCACACGCACACGCACACACACAAACACACACACACACACACTATGAGCTTATCTGTCGAGGTAACGCCCATGGATGCGTTCTGATGAGTAACCGAAGCGCTTCGGTTTCATAGCTGTCACCAAAGCGTCCTTGGGTCTTCTGGAGAAGTCTGCGGCGACTGGCAGGCTAGCCCGCATCGCTGTCAACTCGGATACCAAGATGTCTTTGCAGCACCTAGGGCCTAGGGCCAGTAGTTGGGGCGACGTCCTGGCTGGATGCTACGGCCATAGCCATCCATCGGAGCTCAAGGAGGAGGGCTCTGAGTTGGGCATCATCGTGATGCAGCCCAGGGCCGCCTTCACCAAGTCCTTGACCAACGTTCTGGATCTTGAAACCTCAGCAGAATGCAGCAATCTTTCCCAGAAATCTGCGTTGGCCAATACCGTCCTGCGTCGCAAGCCAAACACCCATTACAATCTGAGTTTCCCCGTTCATGCTGCTGTGGTGCATGGGCATATCTTGCCAGACGAGGATTGATGCCATCTTAGCGCACTGGTTTTCGCTGTACTTGCGGCGGGGAAGCTTATAGAGCTGGCCTGGGCGGAGCAGACTCGCAACAAGTTCAGTGAAGATCCATTGCCGAGTGGTTCGAAGAGGAAGCTATCAACCGCAACTGCATCATGGCTTTGATGTTGTTAGTTGACTGCTGTTGCCGTCATCATCATTAGCATCACCATTGCCAGCAGTATCACCATCCTCTTATTCACAGCCATCAGCATAATCATAATCACCATCCTTTCCTTTCTCATCATCATCATCATCATCATCATCATCATAATCATCATCATCATCATCATCATCATCATACTTATCATCATCAGCACCTTCGTTATCGCCATGACCACCATCATCACCATCATCATCACCACCATCATCATCACCACCATCATCACCAGCACCAGCACCATCACCATCACGTCCATCATCACAACCACCAACATCATCGTCATCATCACCAGCATCATCGGAATCGTCATCGTCATGGCCATCATCATCAGCAACATCATCATCACAATCACCATCGTGCTCGTCGTCGTCGTCGTCCTCATCATCATCCTCATCCTCATTGTCATCCTTTTCCCATATTGATTCAGCCGCAGCGACGAGACGAGGCAACCTTCTGAAAAAGTCCCGAGTCAGCCTGGGCAGCAATGTGTCGCCGCTCGCCCCTCCTCTGTTGAAATTCAGGCAATCATACCCGGCAGTACCCATTTTGGCCCGCGCGGCCGTTTCGGCCGCGGGAGCCTCGGCACTGCACACACACACACACATGTAGACTGGAGCTCCATACTCCAAATCCCTTATTAATCGACCCCCCCCTAAAAAACCAGACCCCCCTCCAAATGCGACCTAATATTCCGGACCCCCTCTTCGAGGGGGCGCCTTAGTAAGCCAGACCCCCTCAGCTCCAATCCGAAGAAAGCGACCTAATAAACCGGACCCCCTTAATGACCAAAAAGGCGCCTTAAAAAACCGGACCCGGGGGACGATTAATAAGGGATTTGGAATAGCTACTCCTCAGGGCGGACCATGCCGGCCAGGAGCCTGGTTCTGCCGGCGGCGCTGGTCTCTGCGTGCGCCGCGATCCACGCGGCGCCCCGCGCGCCGCTCGCGCAGGGCCTCCGCCCAGACGGCGGCCACCGCGTCGAGGACCGGGAGGGCGCCTCGCGGGCCAAGACGATGCCCGTGAGGGGCCACACCGTCAGCGAGGTCTCCGCGGGCTGGGCGGGCAAGGTCGTGTACGCCATCGCGGCGGCGCCCACAGAGGGGGGGCGGCGCGAGGGGGGCACCCTTCCGAGCGGGCGGGGTGGGGGGCGGTCTTCGAGGAGGTGCGGGGCCCTCGCCGAGGGGCCCGGGGAGGGGGTCCTGGCAGCTGGGCGCGGGGGGCTGATGCTTCACCGCCGTGGCCATCGCGGCAGGACGGGGGAGAAGTGAGGATGGGGAGGTCCTCCTCCGCCTCCTCCTCCTCCTCCTCCTCCTCCTCCTCCTCCTCCTCCTCCTCCTCCTCCTCCTCCCTCTCCTGCCTATGGTGGTGGTGGTGGTGGGAAATCGGCCCGGCAGGGCGGGCTCCTCAGGAGCACCCCTGCCTGCCCAGACACCCCTCGCGCCCGCCCCCTTCGCGGGCGCCGCCGGCCGTCTTCACCAGCGCCATCCCGAGGTACCACGAGTCCCTGCTCACCCAGCTGGACACGTGGGCCGCCCGCCCCGCGGCGCAGGGCAGGTACGTCGCCGTGGGCGGCAGCAACTACCCAGCGGAGTGGCAGGGCGCCAGCGTGCTGCGGTCGGGGTGCGGGGACGCCATGGGCTCCATCTCCTGCAAGGAGGCCGCCCTGCTCGCGGAGGGCGCGGCGCGCGGGGCGGACTGGCTGTGCGTGACCGGCGAGGACAACTACGTGCACACCGGCCGCGTCGAGGAGTTCCTGCGCGACAAGGATCGCCGACCACGAAGGGCGTGGTTACGCGAAGAAGACGAAGAAAAAGAAGAAGAATAATAATAAAAAAGAAGAAGAAGAAAGAATAAGAATAATAATAATAATAATAATAATAAGAAAAAGAAACGCCATAAGCGTAAACGGTTGGCGCTCCGCGCGGATTTCACGAATCTGACCGTCGAGAGTTTTCGAACATATGCCGTGGTTCTTCCTCTCACCAAGGGTGCGGTGTCTCCTGGGTGTTGCCTGCGGCTGCGTCGTCGGGGCCCGGCGGGTGCCACGTGGCCCTCGTCGGGCTTCCTCGGGGACTGGCGGGGAGCTCTGCCGAGAGGTCCCCGCCCGCCCCCCCCAGGGTGCGGGTTGCAAATCGCACCCTGCGCAGACCGCACGCCCTTCGCTTCCGCCGAGAGGACCCCGAGGAGGCCATGCCGGAGGAGGGCGCGACGGAGACAGCGGAGCTCGGCCTGCGGGCGGGGGGGGCCCTGCGCCGCCGCGGCCGGGCGCAGCTCGGAAAAACTGGTGCGCTCGTGGACCCCTGCAGGGGCCCCTGGGGACCGAGCCGTGGTCTCCGCTCTCGGTGTCGTTTCACCACTCCCCATCCCCATCCCCATCCCCGTCGAGACCTCCACCAAACTCGACCAGACGTAAGGGTGACCTTTCGCCGGAGTGACAGTGACCTTTGGTGCGGGCAGAGATGGGCCCTCAGATGGCTGAACACGGAGCGGTAGCAGCGGCTTGCGCGCCCAGGTTTGGTCTCCCCGCGGCCCCCAAAAAGCTGCGCACCAAAGGTCACTCTTACCCAGGGTCACTCTTGCGTGCAGCCGATAAGCTACCACCCCAGCTGGGGATGCACCCCTCGAACCCCGGAGGGAGCAGCCTGCATTCCCCATCCAGGGGGGGTTTTAACCGGCCAGCGCGGCCCAGGCCACGCCGCCGGGGAGGGGGATCGGTGAAACGATGCTCGAACTCGCCCTGCTCCGGCCATCGCGTACGGCTACGTCGGCTGCGGGAGATGGGGGAAACGAAAAGGTACCGATGCCGCTACTCCCCAGGCCTCTCCCGGGGCGCGTTCTGACCAGGATTTCGAGGCGCAGCCGGCTGTGGCGACGAGGGCCTCCCAGGAGGCCCCAGAACGGGGGAGACGAGGGAAGGGTGGGGGTAGGGGTACCTTCTCCTCTCCTGAGGAGGGGCGCGTTCTGTCGCGACTCCGAGCTGTTCGAGGCGTCCGGTGGGCTCTGCGGCGGCAGCGGCTACATCATCAGCCGCGCCGCCTTGCGCCTCCTCCTGGCCGGAGGCGCCCCGGGCCTCCACGCGGTCTACGACAACAGCACGTGGCCGAACGACATGACGACCAGCTGCCAGCTCCGCAGGCACGGGGTGCGGCTCGAGACGGCCGAGGATCGGTACGGTCGAAATGGGCGCGGAAAGAGTGGGGACGAAGATTACCAGCAGTTCTTGTTCGTTTTGAACAGGACTCGCTGTCCGCGCCGCCGCGGGCGTTGTCCATTTGAGACAAGAGGCCGCCTGTCCAACAGCGGCCGCTGTCGGTTTTGGACTACGTTTGTTGTTGGGCATTGTGCCCACTTATTCCGTACCCATTTCGGGCGTCCAAAGAGGACATGCTCGGCTGGCCCGTGTTCGGGATCGCGGAGTACGAGAGGATCGCGCGCAGCGGCTTCCTCTCCGCGCACTACCTCAGGCCCGATGTCATGCGGTGGTTCCATGCGGAGGTCGAGGGAGCTGCGGAGTCTGTGAAAAAGCAGCTGGAGGATCGGGCCAAACGAAAGGGGGGGATAGGAAAAGGGGGGGGGTACGAAATCTGCTGCGTACAGCTGGTTTCCGCCCCGCCGCCGGGCCCATTCCTCAATGCATGGGCGCCTTCTGGCGCCAGCAGGCGCCGAGAAGACCAGCTGCGTGCGCTGATTCTCTGCCCTACCCTTTGCTATCCTACCCTTTCGTTCCCCCCTTGAGGGGCTGAGGTGGCTGGGGGGGGTCCCTAGCGCCTAGCGGGAACCTCGAAGTGGCGGGTCTTCCTCTCCTTTTCTCTCCCCTCTCCTTTCCCCGTTCCCTCGCACGCCGTGCTTCGCACAACGTCCGAAAGCGTCCTACACGTAAATCGTGCCTGTCCCTCTACAGGGAGAATATTCAAACATAGTTCAAACAATAGTATGGGGACGATCTTTTGAGTATGTTCTGACCATGTTTGAACCTTTTTTGGGCATGTTTGATGTGTCGTCCAGAATCCCTCTGTAGGAGGACACGCCCGACCTAATCCTACCCTTTCGTCTCCTCCGAGAGGATCTGGCCAAACGAAAGGGGGGGATAGGGAAAGGGGGGGGTACGAAATCTGCTGCGTACAGCTGGTTTCCGCCCCGCCGCCGGGCCCATTCCTCGATGCATGGGCGCCTTCTGGCGCCAGCAGGCGCCGAGAAGACCAGCTGCGTGCGCTGATTCTCTGCCCTACCCTTTGCTATCTTACCCTTTCGTTCCCCCCTTGAGGGGCTGAGGTGGCTGGGGGGAGAGTCCCTAGCGCCTAGCGGGAACCTCGTAGTGGCGGGTCTTCCTCTCCTTTTCTCTCCCCTCTCTTTTCCCGGTTCCCTCGCACGCCGTGCTTTGCAAGACGTTCGAAAGCGTCCTACCCGTAAGTCGGGCCTGTCCCTCTACAGGGAGAATATTCAAACATAGTTCAAAAAATAGTACGGGGACTATCTTTTGAGTATCTTCTGACCATGTTTGAATCTTTTTGGGGCATGTTTGATGTGTCGTCCAGAATACCCCTGTAGAAGGACACGCCCGACCTAATCCTACCCTTTCGTCTCCTCCGAGAGGAGTCGGAGTTTCATAGACATCCTACCCTGACACGTCGATCAGTGAATTGGCCGTTCTCGGTTCGCGGGAGGGCGTCACGGCCGTCGTTCTTGCGGTTCCAGGTCCGTCGGCTTCGGTCCCAGGCAGTTTTCACTAAAGGGTGGTTTACTAAAGTCGGGCCGGACGAAAGGGGGGGATTAGGGAAAGGGGGGGTTACGAAATCTGCTGCATGCAGCTGGTTTCGACCCCGCCGCCGGGCCCATTCCGCGATCGGTGGGCGCCTCCCGGCGCCGGGAGGCGCCGGGAAAGTATCAGCCACGCGAGCTGATTTTCCACCCCCCCCTTTGCTATCTCCCCCCCTTTCGCCCGGCCCGAGAAAGGGAGGTGTGTCCACCGCCGAGAGGAGAGAGCGTTCGACCACGGGTGCGCCGTTTTCTGTTCGCGGGGGGGCGTCGCGGCCGTCATTTTCCTGCGGCTCCGGGTCCGTCGGTCTCGGTCCCGGGCAGTTTTCACGAAAGGGTGGCTTGCTAGAGGGAGGTGTGTGTCCACCGTGGGGCGACGAGATCTATGCATATCCACTGCTCCTGGCCAGGCCCATCCTGGGCCCAGGAGCGTGTATATGCCTCCCTGGCCAGGCCAGGAGGGCGTATACACCGCTCCTGGGCCCAGGATTGTCCTGGCCAGGAGCAGTGGATATGCATAGATCTCGTCGCCCTACACCGCCGAGAGGATAAGGCGTTCGACCACGGGTGCGCCGTCGGCATGCGCACGGGGCCGTGGGCCCGGGAGTGGGCGGACTGCCTGGCGAGCGGGGGCGGGCGCGGCCCCAGCTGGGGCTGACGCCGGCCCCGCCGGGGGGTGCACCCGGAGCGCTTCTCGCCCCGACCGGCCCTTGGTGCGATGGCAAGGAAAAATTGGTCCTCCTCCTTCTTCTTCTCCTCCTCCTCCTCCTCCTCCTCCTCACCCTCCTCTGCCTCCTCCTCCTCCTCCTCCTCCACCTCCTCCTCCTCCTCCTCCTCCTCCTCCTCCTCCTCGTCGTTCTTCCTCCCTCTCCTCCTGAGGATGAGGATGAGGCCTGGGCGGAGGTTTGGTCCAGGGACCGCTCCCGTCTATTCTTTGGTTTTGTGTGTGTGTGTTTCTTTTCGACGGAGGCACTCAGTCCCCTTTCTGGCGCCCTCCCCCCCCCTCCTGGGAGGTGCCCGTCGTCCCCTCATCGCGCTCTTCGGCGCGAGGCCGCTGGCTGCTTGCCGCGCTGCACCCCCTGGCTCCACCAGCACTCCTCCCCGTGCCGACGCCATTTTTTTTCGGGTATAAAGAGGAGAAACCGAAGGGACGCACGGGGCGCCACTAAGAGTTCCCAGAACTCGGCGAGCACCCCTGGGTATCCCCTCGTCCAGTGAATGGCCGGGCGACAGTGGCCTCGGTCCTCTGGCCGTCGCACTCCGGGCAGGCGCAGCCTTCCCCAAGGAGGCAGGGCTGCATGGGCCCGAGTGCCCATCCATGTCGACGGACACGCACGGGCAACCGCCTCTGGTGCCCGACGCAAGGGCGGCAAGCGCCGGCTATCGTGCATCCCCAGAATTTGCAAGTTTGCCTTCGTCGCGAGGCTGTCGCCTCAAGGACACAGCCAGGCTGCAAGGCCGGCGGTCCTGCACACTCACTTTTCCCTGGTTTTCGCACCTCGTTTCCTGTGGGCGCTGCAAGGCGGCAGCGCCAGTTTGCGCGTGCATTTGCGGAGTCTGCACACCTGTTCCCGCCTCAGGGGCGCTGCCTGGCGGCAAGGCTGTCGGTCCTCCGCACTCTCACGTCGAACTGTTTCCGAGGTTCGTCCTCTTTGAGACGGTGGCTGGCGGCGATGCAGCCATCGTGCGTCAGATTATGCGCGCCTACTCCCGTCGTGAGGCTGTTGCCTCGAGGACAGCCCGGCGGCAAGGCTGGCGGTCCTGCACATTGTCTTTTTGGATAATGGCTGGCGGCAGTGCCAAAGTTCGTGCATCCAAGGACACAGCCTGGCAGAAAGTCGAGCCGCCACCAAGGTTCGTTTCCTTTTGGAAACAAGCTGGCGGCAATGCCATCCATCGTGCGTCCGCAGAATATGCACGCCCACATCCGTCGCGAGGCTGTTGCCTCAAGGACGTTGCCCGGCGGCAAGGCCTGCGGTCCGGCGCACTCTCACGTCGAACCGCTACAAGGTTCGTCTCCTATTGGGTGCTGTGTGGCGGCAGTGCCCGCTTGCCCGCGTCGCGAGGCAAATGCCTCAAGGACGTCGCCCGGAGGCAAGGCCGGTGCTCCTGCACTCTCGCGTCGAACCGCTACCAAGGTTCGTCTCCGTTTGGATACTGGCTGGCGGCAGTGCCGGCTATCGTACATCTGGAGAATCTGCGATTTCGCTTTCGTCGCGAGGCAGTCGCCTCAAGGATACAGCCCAGCGACAAGGTGGCCTTCTGGCACTTCGCATCTCCCTGGTTATCACTCGGTTGGAAGGCCTTGGACCCCGAGCGGGCTCCAGGAGGCCCCCGAACATACTTTCAGGAGGCCGCGGTCATCTGACTATCTTGTCGGGGCTGTCTTGAGGGCCTCTTGGGACCCCTCGGGGGACCTCTCGGTGCTCGCTCTGGGTTTGTTTTGGGCGCTGAGCGGACTCCAAGATGCCCCCGATCAGATATTCAGATGGCTGCGGGCATCATAATATCTTTTCGGGGTCCTCCTGGTGTCCTCTTCAGGTCCGTTCGGGGTCCCTGGTGGGGCCTGTTGGTGCTCGCTCGGGGTCGCCAGCGGCGACGGGCGACCAGATTGTTGACGCAGGTCCGAAATATGTTTGCGAGTGAGGCGTTGGCAAGCAGGGGTCGGGGTACAAATGTACACCTATTGTCAGATCAGCGCCCCCGTCATTTCCGCGGAGTTGCGAACTGGGGGTCCAGGCGTACCCCGTTGAGCATCTGCCTTTCGCGTACGCACTAGCGCTCAGCGTTCTGTCGCATGTGTGCCCACACTCGTTTCATGCATGTCTTTACTCGGCCTTCTCCAGCGCGAGGACAGGAGATGAGGAAGTCACACCGTCTCAGTTGCAACCGCCTCCAGCGGGTGCCCTGAACCTCCAACCCCCCTGGCGCGCAGGCCAATCATGGAGCAACGAAAATGTCACGAATGTCAGCGCCACCCTGACGTTCCGAGGATGGGCTAGCATCCCACGGGACAGCTGCCTTGGGCAGCGCAATGCGACTGCGGATAGGCCGGCACGCCCAAACATTGTCCTGTTGAAAAGGCCGAAATTCGGGGCGGAAGTGCGGGCGTTTGCTCCGCTTCGCCAGTTTGTTCTGCCGCTGGCATGTTGTGCTGCGGGAGATGAGGAGAAGATCTCACATGAACCCATTCTCGGTCATTTGCGTCATCTACAAGTAGCGCGAAATGATCAGCTCTTGGTGTGGTCCTTGCGCCTACTGTCAGATCAGCGCCCCCGACAACACCATGGATCTGCGAACTCTGGGGGGGGGCCATGCGTGCCCCGTGGAGCATCTGTCGCTCGCGTACGCATGCGCTCGCAGAGTTCTGATGCAGTTGTGCCCCCACTCGTCTCTCTCTCTCTCTCTCTCATATATCTATATATATATACATATATCTATATATATACATATATATATATATATAGTCAGCCTTCTCCAGAACGAGGGCAGGAAATGAGGAAGTCACAACGTCTCAGTTGCGACCGCCTCCAGCGGGTGCCCTGAACCTCCCAACTCCCCTGGCGCGCAAGCCAAGCGCCGAGCAGCGATTGTGCGACGGATCCCAGCGCGACCCCGATGCTCCGAGCATGGGCCAGCACACCCAAACACTGTCTCGTTGACGGGGCCGAACGAAGGGGGGGGATTGGGAAGGGGGGGGGTACGAAATCTGCTGCATGCAGCTGGTTTCGACCCCACCGAGGGGCCCAGTCCTCGATGCAGGGCCGCCTCCGGCGCCGGGAGGCGCCGGGAAAATCAGCTGCGCGAGCTGATTCTCCACCCCCCCCTTTGCTATCCCCCCCCATTTCGCCCGGCCCGACCGCTGACGAGGCCGAAGCCCCGCCTCGCCGCGCGGCTGCGCCTCCTGGCGTGCCGAGGGTAAGTCTCGCGTGCACAGCCGTTTCTCTGGCGAGCGCCAGAAGAGACTCCCGCGCTGGCCGCCGCCGGTGGCCTGCCGAGCGAGGCCTGCGGCTTCCCAGGAGGGGAAGACAACACACAGGAAAACATGGGAAAACTATAGGAGAATATAGGAAGTGGGGGGGAAAACTATAGGAAAAGGAAAATACAGGAATGAATCGTCGACTCCCAGGAAAATATTGGAAAATATGGGAAGTGGGGGGGGGAGACAAGAACCCCAGAAAATATAGGAAAATGTAGGGCATCTGTTTCTTTGTGTGCATCTAGTTGTGTGTCCTGGGGCCCCTTCGGCTCCCCTCGTGGGCCCCCCCCGGTTGTCCCCGCGGGCGGAGGCCGGCTCCGCTGAGGAGCGGGTTCCCCCGTGCCACGGGGCCAGCGGCAGCAGCGGCGGCAGGGCAGTGAGCCGCCCGCTGCGCCCCTTAAGATTAGGGTTTTTTTTTGGTCGGCGGCTCCAAGGCAGCGGTCAAGGAGCGAAAGCGGCGTCCGGGTGGCGGTACGGGGCGAATTTGCGAACAGAGCCGCCAGTGTCGGCGGACACAGCTCGCTCGCACCCGCAAGACAAGCTCGCAGTTGCACGTGCACAGAACAGCATGAACTAAATTCACAAGCAGACGCACATAGGCGCAGCAGCGTGAAGCGAAGTAAACAGGCTGCCGAGAAGAATGTGCGGATGCAACGGAGTGAGTCGCCGTCGCGGCGCCTGAGATTAGGGAAACGAAGAACGACATAAACATACCCTGACCTTCCAGAGGCTATGTTTTAGCGCGGGAGACCTGGAAACCTAAAAAAAAAAAAAAACGAAGCAGCCTCTAAAACCAAGTCAAGTCAAGTGAACCGTGCCTGGACGGCACATTGGTTGCAGATCGCATGCATGAGTATATACAGCAGTACGCTGGCGTCGACAATGCGAGAAGCAAAGCATAGCCATCGTCGCCGGCTCCGGCTCCATGCGCAGGGACTCTCCAAAGATCTACGCTTCCGTGCCCGACCCGCCAAAAACCCCACTCGGTGGACGACCCTGGAGAGCAGCGGCAGCAGGAGGCAGAGGAGGGAACGACACCCGGGGGCCAGGACGAACCCGGAGCCGGGGGAGGGAGGAGAGCGAGCGACACGACGCCGGAAAGAGGAGAGGAGGGCGAAGCCCGGGCGACCGCCCGAGGGACGAGCAGGGGGGAGAGAGCAGGCAAAGGAGCGACGCAGGACGGCGGAAGAGGGGACGACGACACCACCTGGAGGGCAGGCGGGCGGGGGGAAACCGGGGTAAAAATTCAGAGTAGTATGCAGCATGCCCTAAAACATGTGATAAAATTCATGTCAATTTAAACAGTACCTCAACACTGCTTCTTTCCACGCGCGTTGATTGAAACTGCTCTGCCCGATCGTTTGTCGGACGGCCTCCTCCTGACTCAAGGCCCCGCCGTGCATGCACGTTGCTATTGTCACCGCGTGCGCGTGCACTATCGTAGCCCACTGTAACCTTGGACGCCCCCTGCGGCGTTTCCCAGGGTCGAGGAGACGGGAATTCCCGCTCTGGAAGACACTCTGTCGAGTCAGCGATTCGTTGGGCAGGGCGGACAGCTCTCCATAGTAAAACAATTGCCTGGCAAGCAAAAGTTGGCTTAAACATTCCTGGTTTGCCCTGCACCGGACCTCTGCGTTGCTAATATGGGAAATCATCGAATGTGCAATGTTCAAAATCTT